GAACTAAAACATTCAAGAAACTAGCGAGATGAAACCAAATGAACAAGTGAATGGAAATAAAAATCCAGATACTTGAGGATCTAAAATCTTCATGAGAATGCAAGTGCCTATCACTGAGTCCTACAATTAAATTTTTTGTCAAATTCTTAATTTACAAATAGCAAGAGACTTATACGCAAAGGCAAAGGAAAAATTAAACCACTGAAAAGCAAAGCTGTTTATTTCAGTTTTTGATGCTAAGGAAATGAAGAGTAGTGTTTAGAACCCACTATAGGAAGAGTCCCCAGGTAGGTGTAGGAGGAAAAGTAACGGGAAAAGAGAGTAAGACTGACTGAGATGTTACGTAGAGGGCGAAAGTACTTTGGAAAAGAAGTAATATTGTCTCCTGGTGATAGGAAGCAGACACTGAGCCAAGGCTTTATCGCCATAAATCCTAGACTTAATCCCAAAAGAAGGGTAATTTTCTGGTGAATTATTGTCTAATCAATGCCTGTGAACATGACGAATTCAGATAGATATTCTCATTCTTTTGTTATAGAGTGGGAAGATCTTCTCCTTGACATTTTACAGTTCTTTAATAGTTAAGTTGTGCATCAGAATGCATATATTTGATAGCCAAGTAAGCATCATAATGTATACATTGTTATCTTTTTTTTTTTTTAAATTTTAGTTGTAATTCCTATAGGGATATAGTCTGGGGAAGAGGTTCTGTCCTCCTAAGAGTTAAGCAATAGCCCATGGTGGAAGCCAGACTTACAGGCAGATATATCTACTACCGTTAGAAAGGGTGGAGGGCACTCAGTAAAATACCACTGGTCCTGGGTGATTGAAATTTAGAATAGGAAGGCATTCAGAGAAATGTGAAGAGACAGACTATGAAAGGAAAAAAGAGGGACCAGATCTAACCAGGACTCCTTACTTTTGTTTTTGGTGCTAAAGGAAAGCAGTGTATTAGTGAGAATGGGTAATGGAACACAATGGAAGTTAGAAAACCCATTAAGAGTCCTGACATAGAGTAGATTTTCAAAAAATCTATAGATTTTCGGGAACCAGCAGTTAGTGTAATGGCTATGTCGCTGGACTCCCACATAGTCCACCGCGGTTCACGTCCTGGACCCGGTGGCTTAAAACTCACGCTGGGTGCGTGTGCGTGTGTGCCCAAGATCCTGAGAGGAGAATGGAGGAGAAGGGATTGCTGCGTGACCATCCCCCCTGGGGGGTGATTTCTCGCTTTCTGTCTCTATGTCTCTCTCTCTCTCTCTGGCAAGCGCACGCACCCTATAGTGAAAACCTCTT